TGCTGCCTGGCGGGGAAAAGCCACCCCTCCGGGCCTGGCCCTGGCCTCTACCATTAGGCTGCCTCACCTGCTGGCTCATGCACCTGCTGCTTTACCTTTTCCTGGCCGCAGACACCCTCCTTCCGCTGGGGACGGGGAACACCAGCTCCTTCGGCGGAGGGAGTTCTGGGGAGCAGGAGAGAGGACAGGCTGCCTTCCCGGTTGCCTAAGGGGTGCAAGGCAAGGCAGGGCCAGTCTGCCACTGGCTCTACCATTAGGCTGCCTCACCTGCTGGCTCATGCACCTGCTGCTTTACCTTTTCCTGGCCGCAGACACCCTCCTTCCGCTGGGGACGGGGAACACCAGCTCCTTCGGCGGAGGGAGTTCTGGGGAGCAGGAGAGAGGACAGGCTGCCTTCCCGGTTGCCTAAGGGGTGCAAGGCAAGGCAGGGCCAGTCTGCCACTGGGGCCTCTCTATTGCCCCAAACAAGCACACGCTGCACAGCGAGTGGGAGGGGAGAGCTCCCGAGGCTAGCTCCTCCGTCAAGCAAAGCTCTCATTGACTCCAGGGGAGACCTGCTTGAGCAGCAGCACGCAGGGCTTGGTCTACTATCACTAATGGCATGGACCCTGGAAGGCCAATTCTGTGCTCCAGATGCAGACCTGGGCTCTGGGGGGTGATGCTTGGCTTCCATCAATGCCCATGGGCAGCAATTTGCAGGATCAGGCCTTTGGGCTGCACTCTGTGTGTTAGTGCTTTCCCCTTTTGAGTACTGGTAGGTGGGGCAGGCCCAGCCCGGAGCTGCCCCTTGCACCAGTCAGTCGCTGAGCAGGGCCTGTGTCCCAAAGCAGCACACACACTTGAGATGCCTGCAGCTGAGAAAAGGGGGTAGGTGCACCTGGGCCATACGCTGAGCGCAGCATTGCATCTGTCCATAACTCTTCTGAGTCTGGAGATGGGACCGGAAATGCAGAGGACCGGAATTGTGGTCCTCGCTGCTGCATCAGCTGTTGTGGCTGCTCTGGAGACAGCTTGTCCCCACAAAACCACTCAGACTGGTTGTAAGCATGGTGCAGCCTCTCTCTTGCCTTGCACACCCGTCCCCCCTCAGCACAGCAGACAGACAGTCTGGCAGCCAAGCAGCTAGCCACAGGCTGACCGGCTGAGTGAGCCTGGCCTTGCTGAGCCCCATGTCTCTCTCTTCTCCTTTGTCATCTTCCTCTCCCCTCGTGGGCTGGCTCCCCATCTCATCCAAGAAGGGCAGGGTTAGACTCAGCTAGCCCCGGCTGGCACAGCTCTCCCACAGTTGCACTCTGGTGGGTGACCCAAGCCCTGTCTCCCAACCTCCCCAGCACAGCACAGAGGCAATCTAGGAGCAGCTAGGGAAGACAGTGTGCAAGAGAGAAAAGGAATAAGAAAGAATAGGGATGGTTGAATGATACATCTTAAGAGCCAGGGTGTCGTAGGCATTTTGGCATCTCCCTGGGCCCACACTGATAGCACATGGGGAAGGGGCAGTCCTTTCAGGGGTGCCCTTCCCCTCGGTCCTGTTGACACAGATCTTCCTTGCATGTTCTTAGATCACCAGCAGCTCTGCTGGGAAGGAAGTTCTCACCAGCATATTTGGTGCCACCGCAGAAACCCTCTCCACCTCCACCACTACCCATGTTACCAAGGTAAGGATGACGCCGGCACAAAGTCAGGAGAGGGGCCTTACTGAAAGTGCACCTTGTTGGCAGGGAAGCTGGTACCTTTGGGGGTGAGAGAAATAGCACTGCAGATTGTACAGGAGCAAATACACACTAATTCAGTGGTTCTCAGCCCAAGGCATATGTACTCCTGGGAATTCGCAGAGGTCTTCCAGGGGTGCATCAGTTCATCTTGATATTTGCCTACTTTTACAACAGCCTACATAAAAAAGCACTAGCAAAGTCAGTACAAATTACAATTTCATAGTGTATGTCTACACAGCACAGTTATTTTGAAATAACAGCCGTTATTTCAAAATAACTTTACTAGCATCTACACAGCCAAACCGCTATTTCGAAATTAATTCAAAATAGTGGAGCGCTTATTTCAAAATTGGTAAACCTCATTCCACGAGGAATAACGCCAATTTCAAAATAGCTATTTTGAAATAAGTGCTGTATAGACACTTATTTCAAAATAGGGGGCCTCCAGCCCTTCCCAGGATGCCCTGGTGGCAACTCTGGCCTCAAACAAGAACACTCCTCTCCCTCCCTCCCCCCTCCCCAGAGCCCTTAAAGTGGTTGACTTCGGCCACAGTGCCTTTGCCAGCTCCAAGCCTGCCAGCCTAGAGCCAGCCAGTCACTTCCTCTGACTCAGTGGCCCCAAAACATGAGTCAGCAAGCCACTGGCAGTCAGCCCTCCACCGCTCCCCAGGCGCAGTCTGCCAGCTCCCAGGAGCCTGCCAGGGCCCGGAGAAGGCAGGCACCTTCCTGGTCCAGGGTAGAGATCATGGACTTTATTCAGGTTGGGGGGGGGATGCCCCCAATGTCCATGATCTCCACACTAGATGGAGGAACGTGGCCATCTATGGCAGAAAAGCTGCCAGTCTTGCCACTAA